CTTGCTCAGCAGGGAGCCTGCTTCTCCCTCTGCCTGCCACTCCCCCTGCTTGTGCTCTCTCTCTCTCTCTTTCTGACAAATAAATAAATAAAATCTTTAAAAAAAAAAAAAAAGAATGGTAGTATCTGGGTGGTGAAAATAAAGTATTTTTATTTTCTTATTTTTACCTTTTATAATGCATATTCATTGCTTTTGTAATAATAAAAGGTTCTTTTTAATTACAAAACAGAAACAAAAACCTAGCTTCATAAGGGTAATGAAGGCAGAGATTCCTGGCACTGAGAACACCTGCAGACACCTCGCACTGAGAAAAGGGGCGGGCACATAGGTGCTCAGTATGTATTTGCTAACTAAGTATAGAGTAATGCATGGAGAAATCCCCTTCAGTAAGCCACTGCCCTTTAAAGTGAAAAGGGGCTGATATAAATGGAATAGAAGTATTAAGTAATAGAACACAGATTTTGGAAAACATTCTTGCCTCAAGACGAACAGCAGAGTAATTCGAACGTCCCTACCTCAGCCGCCCGCCAGAGCACTGAGGAGCAAATTCCCTGAGATCTTCCTGACCGCTGACGGTCCCGTCCCTGACTGGAAGAGGCTCTACTGCCCACCTTGCTCCCTTCCTTGAGGAGACTATAGATAAAGACTAGAAAGGGGGTACAGGGGCCAGAGGACGGACAGCAGAAACCAGACCGAGATCCCACCAGAGAAACATTCAAGAACCACTAGTAGATGCGGAGCATCTGCAGTGGTGATTCTGACCTGGAGGTTCAGATGTCTTTAGTTTACCTTGTCTTTGGCTCTTGACAAGACCAGTACATAAAAACGTATTCGATTTTAAATGAACTAAAATGCATATTCCAAAAATAGAAAAATAATTTAAAAAATAAAATGGATATTCAAAAGAGTATCTCCTACTTAAAGGTCTCAAGGGTGAATAAAAATATATCTATATTAAATTCTGCATTATGTGCAAAGTAAAAGCATTAAGCCGGAAAAATTTCTAATACAGCCGAGTTGTTTGAAAAGATTTCCCTCAGTAAAGTAGATTATCTGACAGCAGATAAACCCACACATTTCCTAAGAAGGAAAATGATGAAAAATCAGGTACGTACTGTTCGGAAATGGCTACTGAGGTGGTCCAGCCTGCTAAATCTTTTCCCACAGGCTTGACAGGGATAGGGCCTTTCTCCCGTGTGGCAGCGAAGGTGACGCTTCAGGTCCGCCTTCCGCTTCACCACGTGTGTGCAGTATGGGCACTTGAACCGCATCCGGGGCAGATCATCTGTCAGGAGACAGTTTGATTAAATCACTGGAAAGTTCATCACAACAATTCTAATAACATGAGGAATCCCAAAGGAGTTGGTGAGTCCGATCTTGGAAAGGCAGGAGAAAAGGAGAAGGAAGAAAGGTTATTAAGACTCAATTGTCGGTGGGCGCCTGGGTGGCTCAGTTGGTTAAGCGACTGCCTTCGGCTCAGGTCATGATCCTGGAGTCCC